AGATATATGGCGCGCCTGCCTTTGTTCAATTTTTTACCTCTCCAAATAAGTCGTGCCCATTTTATAATACACACACACACACACACACACACACACACACACACACATATATATATATATATATATATATATATATATATATATATATATATATATAAAAATCATTTCAGTTTCACTTACACTCCACTTCTTAGGTTTCTGTTTATGTATGGTAAAGAAATAAAAGTTTACACCATATGGCATGCACTAAATAAAATATAAAATATTTAATGATGAACCTTTTTACAAAAATAGAAAAAAAAAGGATTATTTTTGTTTGTCTTCAAAAATCAGACTGATGAGTTGGTGTGTAAAGAAAGAGCAATTTATTGTCAGGCTGTAAGTTCAGTCAAAATTTTTGTAAAATTTTTTTGAAAGTAAATCACCCATTTTAAAATTCATATAACTTTCCTTAAAATAAAATTGCTAAAAAATAAATCTTTAAAAATGTGTTGTTGGTAACATTGTTGAACTTAGGCTCTTTTACTTCATCCCACTTCTTTCACACTAGTAGTTTGACCCAGTGGCTTTCACTTCAGATCAAGTGACAGCAAGCCTTCTCAGTGATGCAACACTCTCCTTACTATCCTCCTTTTTACTGATTTCCGTAAATGTGTTGTCTGCACAGTTTTAATTTGATTTTTAATTCTTCTGAACAACTTTTGTTAGTGTTCAGTGTTTCAAGTAGTACTCCACTTGTCCCTTTTTTTTTATACACCAGATGATTGTGTGGCAACAATTAAAAACTGAGTATTATTTTTGCATCCAATGACAGTCTCTATTCTTCCTTGAAATTCAGTCCAACTCATCACTTTTTTGAATTAATTTCTTCCTCCTCCATGTTCCCTCTCAACCCTCAGACGTATTTTTGCCTCCTCCTCCACGGACATATTTTCTTTTCGTATCATTCTTTTTGTCCTTATTCTCCTTCCGTATTTCTTCTGTTCCTTTTAAATGGATTGCTTTTCCTTCATCTCATTCTCCTTGAACAAACTAACTTTTCCGCCAAAGTATTCTGTTTCTTTAAAATTTTCTTCTTTTCTAGTACCACCATCACCAACAACAACCTCTTTCCATGTACAGTCCCAGTTGTTGATCTGACATTAAAAGAAAAAAGTTAATTTTTTTTCTTTTTACAAGTAAAAGTTTTTGTTACTTGAGCATAGAAAAAGTATTTACTTACAATATCATCCTCGTTTTCACTACCACTTGGATTATCTCATCTGATTCCCTACCTAAGTGCTTTGTAGACAGGTCAATGCCTATGAGCTCATGTCTATTTAGCAGAATACATTTCAAAGCAAAAAAGTGGATGAAGAAGGAAAGAAAAACAAAATGAAAGAGAAAATAAAAATTGAAGATTGAAATAAATGAAAATAACATATTGAATTTTGATGGCTGATTTCAGTCTCTTTTCCTTTGACAGTTGTATTGATGGGAGTTCTTAGTTTATTTTTTTTTTCTGTATTGCTGCTACTAGTTGAAAAGTACAATGGGACAGTAGTTAATGATGGCAAAGAGAAAGGGATGACATTTATTTTATTTTACTAAATTTTACATAGCTGGCTTTCTCTTTACGCTTTAATTTGCTTTTCTCTGCATTTTTTTTTTGTCTACATACACACCTTTTTCACATTGTGTTTTGTCTCTTTTTTTTTTTTTCTTTTTTTTTTTTTTATTAATGTCAATTTCCTCCTCCCATGGACATTTCATCTCTCTCTTTCTATCTGTTTTCTTTACAGATTGATGCATCCATTATCTACCATTAACATTTAACACTGTTGGGTCTTAGTTGTGTGAAAAAAAATGCTAAAATTAACAATATATTAAAAGGAACACGAACAGTACTCTTGATAAGAATTTTTTCTTTGTTTGCATATGCAATTCTTACTTTAGCCTTTATGATTTTCCATTTTCCACTAAGCACTCAATCACTCACCTGTTTTACTGTGTGTGATCTTCTGGAGAACTAAACTCTATCTATTTTTATTACTTACATTCTCCATTGAAACTTATCTCATATCATTTCCGTTTTTAGATCTGATTACACCAGATCACTCTCCTTCAGATTTGTTAGTCTTACATGGCTTTTTCATATTATTTACCATTCTCTTTTGCTCTCTCAACCATAGTAAGGTAGTTTAATTCTCGTTCTTCCTAGTATCGGCATGTCTGTTTTTTTGCTCACTTTCGTATCTGCCTGTATCTTTTTTGGTCTCTCTCTCTCTCTCTTTCGTATCTGCCTGTATCTTTTTTGGTCTCTCTCTCTCTCTCTCTCTCTCATATCTGCCTGTATCTTTTTTGGTCTCTCTCTCTTGTATCTGCCCATACCTTTTTTGATTTCTCTTTTTCTCATACCTGTTCATATTTTATGGTCTCTCTTTTTCTCATATCAGCCCATATCTTTTTTGGTCTCTTTCTCTCATATATGCCCATATCTCTGTTGGTCTCTCCCTCTCTCTCTTTTTTTCACTCAACTAAATCTGATACCACATATCTGTGCGTATCTCTGTTGGTATATCTCTCTCTTTCATATTGGTCTCTATCACTATGGGTCACTTTCTCTCTCATATCTGCCTGTATCTCTATTGGTCTCTCTTTCTTTCTCACTCTTGTATCTGCCCGTATCTCTGCTGATCCCTCTCTCACTTGTATGTCTGTATCTCTGCTAATATCTCTCTCTCTCTTGTATGTCTGTATCTCTGCTAATATCTCTCTCTCTTGTATGTCTGTATCTCTGCTAATATCTCTCTCTCTTGTATGTCTGTATCTCTGCTAATATCTCTCTCTCTTGTATGTCTGTATCTCTGCTAATATCTCTCTCTCTCTTGTATGTCTGTATCTCTGCTAATATCTCTCTCTCTCTTGTATGTCTGTATCTCTGCTAATATCTCTCTCTCTCTCTTGTATGTCTGTATCTCTGCTAATATCTCTCACTCTCTCTCTTGTATGTCTGTATCTCTGCTAATATCTCTCACTCTCTCTCTTGTATGTCTGTATCTCTGCTAATATCTCTCTCTCTCTCTCTCTTGTATGTCTGTATCTCTGCTAATCTCTCTCTCTCTCTCTCTCTTGTATGTCTGTATCTCTGATAATCTCTCTCTCTCTCTCTTGTATGTCTGTATCTCTGTTGATCTCTCTCTCTCTCTCTTGTATGTCTGTATCTCTGTTGATCTCTCTCTCTCTCTTGTATGTCTGTATCTCTGTTGATCTCTCTCTCTCTCTTGTATGTCTGTATCTCTGTTGATCTCTCTCTCTCTCTCTTGTATGTCTGTATCTCTGCTAATATCTCTCTCTCTCTCTCTTGTATGTCTGTATCTCTGCTAATATCTCTCTCTCTCTCTCTGTATGTATGTCTGTATCTCTGCTAATATCTCTCTCTCTCTCTGTATGTCTGTATCTCTGCTAATCTCTCTCTCTCTCTATGTCTCTATCTCTGCTGATCTCTCTCTCTCTCTCTTGTATGTCTGTATCTCTGTTGATCTCTCTCTCTCTCTCTTGTATGTCTGTATCTCTGTTGATCTCTCTCTCTCTCTCTTGTATGTCTGTATCTCTGTTGATCTCTCTCTCTCTCTGTATCTCTGTGTCTGTATGTCTGTTGATCTCTCTCTCTCTCTTGTATGTCTGTATCTCTGCTAATATCTCTCTCTTTGTATGTCTGTATCTCTGTTGATCTCTCTCTCTCTTGTATGTCTGTATCTCTGTTGATCTCTCTCTCTCTCTTGTATGTCTGTATCTCTGCTAATATCTCTCTCTCTCTTGTATGTCTGTATCTCTGCTAATATCTCTCTCTCTCTTGTATGTCTGTATCTCTGCTAATATCTCTCTCTCTCTTGTATGTCTGTATCTCTGCTAATATCTCTCTCTTGTATGTCTGTATCTCTGCTAATATCTCTCTCTCTCTTGTATGTCTGTATCTCTGCTGATCTCTCACTCTCTTGTATGTCTGTATCTCTGCTGATCTCTCTCTCTCTTGTATGTCTGTATCTCTGCTGATATCTCTCTCTCTCTCTCTTGTATGTCTGTATTCTGCTAATATCTCTCTCTCTCTTGTATGTCTGTATCTCTGATAATATCTCTCTTGTATGTCTGTATCTCTGTTGATCTCTCTCTCTTGTATGTCTGTATCTCTGCTGATCTCTCTCTCTCTTGTATGTCTGTATCTCTGTTGATCTCTCTCTCTCTTGTATGTCTGTATCTCTGTTGATCTCTCTCTCTCTTGTATGTCTGTATCTCTGTTGATCTCTCTCTCTCTTGTATGTCTGTATCTCTGTTGATCTCTCTCTCTTGTATGTCTGTATCTCTGTTGATCTCTCTCTCTTGTATGTCTGTATCTCTGTTGATCTCTCTCTCTTGTATGTCTGTATCTCTGTTGATCTCTCTCTTGTATGTCTGTATCTCTGTTGATCTCTCTCTTGTATGTCTGTATCTCTGTTGATCTCTCTCTTGTATGTCTGTATCTCTGTTGATCTCTCTCTTGTATGTCTGTATCTCTGTTGATCTCTCTCTTGTATGTCTGTATCTCTGCTGATCTCTCACTCTCTTGTATGTCTGTATCTCTGTTGATCTCTCTCTCTCTTGTATGTCTGTATCTCTGTTGATCTCTCTCTCTTGTATGTCTGTATCTCTGTTGATCTCTCTCTCTTGTATGTCTGTATCTCTGTTGATCTCTCTCTCTTGTATGTCTGTATCTCTGTTGATCTCTCTCTTTGTATGTCTGTATCTCTGTTGATCTCTCTCTCTCTTTGTATGTCTGTATCTCTGTTGATCTCTCTCTTGTATGTCTGTATCTCTGTTGATCTCTCTCTTGTATGTCTGTATCTCTGTTGATCTCTCTCTTGTATGTCTGTATCTCTGTTGATCTCTCTCTTGTATGTCTGTATCTCTGTTGATCTCTCTCTTGTATGTCTGTATCTGTTGGTCTCTTTTTCTCTCTTGTATGTCTGTATCTGTTGGTCTCTTTTTCTCTCTTGTATGTCTGTATCTGTTGGTCTCTTTTTCTCTCTTGTATATGTCTGTATCTCTGTTAGCCACTCTCTCTCCTATATCCACCTGTATGGTCTCTCTCTCTCTCTCTCTCTCTCTCATCTGCACTTTTGGTCTCTCTCTCTCTAGTATCTGCCTGTATCTCTGTTGGACTCTCTCTCTCTCTTGTATCTGCCAGTATCTCTGTTGGTCACTCTCTCTCCCTCTCGTATCTTCCAGTATCTCTGTTGGTCACTCTGTCTAATCTTTGTTGGTCACTCTTCCTTCTCTCTCATCTTTGTTGGTTGCTCTTCCTTCTCTCTCATCTTTGTTGGTTGCTCTTCCTTCTCTCTCATCTTTGTTGGTTGCTCTTCCTTCTCTCTCATCTTTGTTGGTTGCTCTTCCTTCTCTCTCATCTTTGTTGGTCGCTCTTCCTTCTCTCTCATATCTTTGTTGGTCTCTCTCTCTCTCTCATATCTTTGTTGGTCTCTCTCTCATATCTTTGTTGGTCTCTCTCTCATATCTTTGTTGGTCTCTCTCATATCTTTGTTGGTCTCTCTCTCATATCTTTGTTGGTCTCTCTCTATCTTTGTTGGTCTCTCTCTCTCTCATATCTTTGTTGGTCTCTCTCTCTCTCATATCTTTGTTGGTCTCTCTCTCTCTCATATCTTTGTTGGTCTCTCTCTCTCTCTCATTCTTTGTTGGTCTCTCTCTCTTGTTGGTCTCTCATCTTTGTTGGTCTCTCTCTCTCTCTCATAGCTTTGTTTGTTGGTCTCTCTCTCTCATAGCTTTGTTGGTCTCTCTCTCTCATAGCTTTGTCGGTCTCTCTCTCTCATAGCTTTGTTTTCTCTCTCTCTCTCACATAGCTTTGTCGGTCTCTCTCTCTCATAGCTTTGTCGGTCTCTCTCTCTCTCTCTCTCTCTCATAGCTTTGTCGGTCTCTCTCTCTCATAGCTTTGTCGGTCTCTCTCTCTCTCATAGCTTTGTCGGTCTCTCTCTCTCATAGCTTTGTCGGTCTCTCTCTCTCAGCAGCTTTGTTCTGTCTCTCTCTCTCATAGCTTTGTCGGTCTCTCTCTCATAGCTTTGTCGGTCTCTCTCTCTCATAGCTTTGTCGGTCTCTCTCTCTCATAGCTTTGTCGGTCTCTCTCTCTCATAGCTTTGTCGGTCTCTCTCTCTCATAGCTTTGTCGGTCTCTCTCTCTCATAGCTTTGTCGGTCTCTCTCTCTCATAGCTTTGTCGGTCTCTCTCTCTCATAGCTTTGTCTCTCTCTCTCTCATAGCTTTGTCGGTCTCTCTCTCTCATAGCTTTGTCGGTCTCTCTCTCTCATAGCTTTGTCGGTCTCTCTCTCTCATAGCTTTGTTGGTCTCTCTCTCTCTCATAGCTTTGTCGGTCTCTCTCTCTCTCATAGCTTTGTCGGTCTCTCTCTCTCTCATAGCTTTGTCGGTCTCTCTCTCTCATAGCTTTGTCGGTCTCTTTCTCTCATAGCTTTGTCGGTCTCTCTCTCTCATAGCTTTGTCGGTCTCTCTCTCTCTCTCTCTCATAGACCTTGTCGGTCTCTCTCTCTCATATACCTTGTCGGTCTCTCTCTCTCTCTCTCTCATATACCTTGTCGGTCTCTCTCATACCTTGTCGGTCTCTCTCATACCTTGTCGGTCTCTCTTTCTCTTTTAATTTGCGTCCATTTTTTCCTCTCTTGGCCCTATCCCACCAACCTTACTCTTTTGTCTTTTTTCCATGTGCCTTTTTCTCTCTCTCTCGCCTTTTTCTCGTCTGCCTTTCTCTCTCACCTTTTTTCTCGTCTGGCCTTTCTCTCTCTTTTGTCTTTTTTCTCGTCTGCCTTTTCTCTCTCTCTCGCCTTTTTCTCGTCTGCCTTTCTCTCTCACCTTTTTCTCGTCTGCCTTTCTCTCTCACCTTTTTCTCGTCTGCCTTTCTCTCTCACCTTTTTCTCGTCTGCCTTTCTCTCTCACCTTTTTCTCGTCTGCCTTTCTCTCTCACCTTTTCTCGTCTGCCTTTCTCTCTCACCTTTTTCTCGTCTGCCTTTCTCTCTCACCTTTTTCTCGTCTGCCTTTCTCTCTCTCTCTCCCTCCATACGTTATATAGATGATGCCATATATCACAGTCCTGTTCATATCTGTTTGTCTACAAAGTTAAATTTTATTTAAGATGAAAAATGCGTGTACTACACATTCTGATAGATTTGGCAATAACTCTTAAACAATTACACTACACAGCATCAATGACCTGAAATGTGAATCCTGAAAAAGTCCATCGGAATAAAATGTTCCTAAACACACCACATGGTTAAATAGTTCAAATAAAATTTAATAAAATCCTGACTTGATAATTTTTCAAATGCTACAGACTTCTGGCCGTTGAAAAGTTCTTAACTTGACACACTTCCCCAAATCAGTATTTTATTTAATCACCAAATATCAGAAAATGGCAGCGAATGCTGGACAATCTCGTTACAGATGAAGTAGAGGCAACAGAAATGGAGTTCTTCAGAAAGAGACAATTAAAATGTCTAGGGCGCATAATGAGGAAAGTTTAACACTCACAGGACATGTTGAAGGCAAGAGGAACGGAGGATAATCTACTTGTAAAAAAAATGCAAATATTTGGCAGAACAAAGATTAATAATGGGTATCAAAAAGACAAAAGCGCTACAAAGGACAGGAAGTTGTGGAGAATCATAATCGCCCACTTCTTGAAAGGCAACGGGAGGAGGGAAAAGATTTGGGCAGAGAACTTTTCATCTCTCGAGTGCGTGCGTGCGTTCCTAATTGAGGTTTTCATTTTTTATACCGAATTTAGTTTTGTTTAGTGTTACATACTGTAAACTCATTTCAAGCCTATTTTTGACTACTGAATTTTTAAAGTGACACTCAAATCAGAGGCTCTCTGAATAAAATATTCTCTATCGGGAGCCGATCCAGGGCCAAGTACACTACAGAGTGAACCTCACGGGGGGAAAAAAAAAGAAAAAAAAAAGTAGCTTCAAAAATCGCAAGTAGCTAAATTCAAAATTTGGTTGCTCAGGGCTTTCAAAAGTAGTTCAAACTGGAAACCGTTATTCATTCAGCGAAACATAAGGAAACATGCCTTTGTAAACAAGGTATCCCTTACGCAAAAATAGAAAAAAATTTATTAGAGTTCATTTATCCGATTCGAACCAAGTTTGATAGAAGCCTATATTTTGTGGAGCACATCAGGAACGAACACTGTGAAGTGGCTTGTATGACCTGTTCGCTAAACACGGTTCTATCAGAAACGCTTGTGTAGTTTGATCGCTAGCTCACTAAATATTATTGATTTTTTTTTACAGTTATATGATGGTAATTTTTAGTTGACAGGCGCAGTCAATAACGAGCCGAAAGTTAAAATTAACGAATTATTTATAGTTTTACTTTTCAGTGTGTTTTTTTTTCTTTATTTTTTTTACCTGACATATTTTAATTTCAACATTTATTTCCTCATTAAAAGAAAAATGTCATAAACATCTGCTTTAAAATCCCGAAATCACGGCTGGTGTCCTTCATTTTTTTTCTTAAAAAAAAAAAAAAAAAAAAAAATAAAAAATCACAAACATGCGTTCTTGTGGGAATTACTTTTTACATCATTTCAATGAGTGTGACAAAATTATATCCCCCTCCTCCCCCAAAAATCACAACGCACATACTCTTGTTCCACTAAGCGTTGTTTCTTGTAACCGATATTCCATTTTATTTTTAATCAGAATCAACTGTAGTTTGCAATTTATACTTCGAGCAGGGTTTTTTTTTTTTTTTAAGATTCTAGAAAATTTAAATATGTAAAATTCGTTAGTTATTTGAAGTAGGTTATCTGTCGCGCTCCAAGACTAGAAAATTGCTATCATCATATCCATCATTTCCACCATCTCGAGTTTTCCTTCTCTTTCCCAAATTACAGCATTTGATATTTTTCCTGGTTCTTTTTCGTAATCACTTCCTACCAACAGCAAAAAAAAAAAAAAAATGGCTCTAACGTTCTTGCCATTATACAGAATATTTTTTTAACTACTTATTCAAAGATTAAAATATTTTTTATTTAAATTAATATTTTTAAAAACCCTTCATTCAGAAAAGAGAGACAACGCTGTCATTAATAAATTTTAAATTACACATACGCGTGTGGAAAATACCCCCCCTTTTTTTGACTACTATTTTTCTGTTTCTTTCCAAGGGTACTCTTTTCTTTTTTCTTGCTTTTTTTCGTTTTTTTTTTTTTCGTTTTTTTTTAACAGCAATGTTGTCACGTGAGCGAAAATTGTTCTGACCCAAGTTTCGCGCTGAGTTTATTTTTTCTGTGAAGTTCGTTATATTACAGACCTGACTGTCGCGGAAGTTATTTTTCCTTATTTCCCAAAGTCAAAAGTGCTTGTTTAAATAAAATGCATAAAAAATTCGTCCGTGTATGATGTAGACTAGAGAGAAACTATTTCTTTTGAAAATAATCTTGCAAAGATTAATGTTTCAATTTTCTTTCGTTTTTTAAAAATTAAATTTCGTATTTTCATTTTGATCTTTTTAATTAACTGGCTGTCCTTTTTTTCCAAGAAGAATATCTCCGTAGATTAGCAGTACTGTGTTGCCTTCCAACTTAGTAGCAGTCCGGGTCGGTGTACGTTTTGACTTTATATATGTTTTCTCCTCAGCCTTCAACCTTGTTCTCACTCACACCCAATCTCTTCTTTTTCGAACTTGACACTCCTCTGTTTCGTTATTCCATCCTCCCCGTTCCTCTATCTGCTACTCACTCTGGCCATCGTCGTGTTTATTCTCTCTTTGATACAGCAGAATCGCGCACTTGCCCCATTGCTTTCTCGGTATATTTGTTCGTTTGCTCACTCGCTCATTCCTTCCATCTACCACATTACTCGACATCTCTCTTTCTCTCTCGCGCGCTTTCCCCCGTCTTTCTTTTCTTTTCTACAATCTCTTGTTTGGGTTCGACTATCGAGAAAGCTGTGTGTTTGTGTGTTCGCCTCTCTTTCTTTCTCTCTTTGCTCCGTTTTGTGTGGTGCGACCACTCTCTATTCTAGTCTACTTGTTTTGTAGTCGCACTCCCTCTTTTGCCTTTTCTTCATCATCGTCGTCGGCGCTGTCTCTGCCTCTCTTGCACGCTGACTCACACTGATCATCATTAACATAGTCATCAGGATTGAAAGATGGCTGGCAGTAGCAGCAAGAAAAGGCACCTCGTGCACATCCATAGTTTGTAAAAGAGAAACTGCATAGCGCACATCACCTAGCTTCGAAGAGGAGAGATACAAAGAAGAGAGAGAGAGAACGAGATAAAACAAAAAGAAAAAAAAACGAAAACATAGTAACAGTGACTTAGTGTGTGTGAGTGAATGTTGTGGTGGTGACGACGACGGCAGCTTTGGAAAAATATACAAATTCTTGTGTGTATGTGTGCGTGTGTATGTGTCCTGAACGGGGTGAAACGAACTCCCGTCTGCCAGCATCACTGCCTTGTCTCGTACACTATTTGGCTTCCCAAGTCGTTTATTTATATTAACCTTATTTCAACGCGACACGATACGACACAAAAAAGTAAATCGTTTTTATACATACATCTACTTACGTACGTATGCGTAGAATAACTACATGCGTGTATATGGGCTATGACAGCTGGAAATTATAAAGAAATTGGCACACTTCTTCGGAGGCTAGTGATAAGCAATACTTTCATGCTATGAACAAGAACGCGATGTGTTTACTGGATAGCTTTAACATGCTTGCAAACAGCAGAAAAATAATGCCGGGGAGCACCATGTTAAAAATGATTGCTGCAGTGGTGAGTATTTCTTAGGTTCTTCTTTTCTGCGACTACCAATTTGTTCAAGAGCTGTAAACGAGAACGTTTTTTTCCTTCCTTCCTGCAGGTCATTATTATAATATTTAGCATCACATTGGTATATAGATGTTTTAATCGTAGGATGTCCGAAAAAACAAAACAAAAAAAACAGTTTTTATGCCACAGTCCGTAACGCAACGTTAATCCGTTCGTTACTATATCGATATGGCCATTTCTGTGATGCAGTTCTGTTAGCTTAAAATAACTGATTCCGTGTTTGGTGTGAGACTCGCCGCTTTTTTTTAATTTATTATTATTTTTTTTTTTTTAATATAATTAAACTAATGAATCTAATACTTGAGATTTTTGTCTTTGTTTCTCACTTTCACATTTTATCACTTCTGTTATTCCTCTACCCTGTTCTGCTTCCTGCGTTCGCGTTTCATCCTCATTTATGCTAGTATACTAAGCAAAAACCAATATTTTGATTTAAATACAAAAAAACTAAGAACAACATTATTAAACCAGAAGATATCTGGTCATTGGACTGGTTTAAATTTTTCTCCAATGCTAATAATTCTTTTTCACTGCTAGTGCTAGCTACACGCAAAAAAACATCTTTGTCGTTCTTTTTAACTCCGAGATCATTCTACAGAGGTTTGACAAGAAGAGACTACTAACAAATGCGTTCCATGTTTTCAAAGGTGATATGGTTATGTTCCTCTTTTTAGTCTTTGGTTTTGCCATTATATCTGAATTGCGCGTTCATTCATTTCTTTAAACTTGAACTAACAACGTCATAGAATTGAATTACGAGACTTCTGGTTTGTTTATAAATAGGTTCAATTTTCGCTTGATCTCCTTTTGAAACTCCATTTTTACCCCTTTTTTTCTGACCAATAAGCTGTTATTTCTTTACCCTTCTTTATCCTGACCTTCTAAATCCCAACTTGCCTTACCCGTTCACCCTTTTCCCCTTTATTCTACTCAGCTCTTTATTTGCCTCTACTTTTCTCTTTCCTTCCACCCGAGTATACCCACCATTCTTCCACCCGACATTTATTTTCTTCACTCTATCCCTTAACTAGGACTTTCTATTTTTCATTTTTTTAATTTTTTTTTTTTTTTTTTTCATTAATCTTTCATCTTTCATTTTTCTTTCCATTCAAGTCTTTGTCCATTATTTTTTAAATAAATAAATAAGTTATTTCTATATTCCCCGCTCTTTTATTTAATTGCACTTTTTTTTTGAATTTCCCACTCTTTCCTTTTTGCTTTTCTTTTTTAAATTCCCAACCATTATTTCTGTTTCCAATTTATTAGCCTCGAATCCATTTTCTCTCATGTCCTTACTCTCCTTTATGATTGCCTTTCTCTACATTCACTGATGTCGTAAATCCAACTTTCAACTTTCCACCCTTAAGACCTCCTTCCCAATATATTTTTTCTTTTTCATTTCAGATCCTTCAAAAGTATTCTTCAAAAAGCACACCACGACTTGGAGTGTTCTTAAAACTCACTCACTCATTCGCGCATTCTTTTAGCAGCTTAAAGTCTCTCTTTCTTTTGGCTGCGTATTGGCAACATTTTTCAATCGCTCCCCCATTTTACTTTCTCTTTCACCAGAGCGTATTTTTCCTTGCTTGCCATTCCAGCCTTTTCGTTTTTTCTTTTTAATCTTCTCTTCAATCTGCTTTCACTTTTGGTTTTGCCCACAAAGAAACACGCACGTACGCACACACGCGCGTTTTTCTCTCTCAATCCCGCACGTTTTTCTTTATCTTTTTCCTTTTTCTGAATCATTTTCTTAACCCTTACAAATCTATTGTCTTAAACTTAGAAAATCTCCACATTTAAAAAAAAAAAAAAGTTTAAATCTCACACCATTTTTCTTTTTTTCTTTTACGTCTCTTTTTCAGTTTTTCTTTTACTACTAAAAGTAGTAAGTAGCGTTTTTCAGAGGGTGTTTTAAAACGATTGCTTCAAACTTTAATGGAGCAATTTTAATTTCTCAAAAATCAAAAAAAAAAAAAAAATTGGTAGAATAAATTTAATTTTTTCTCTTTTTGCAGAATTTAATCATAATACTTATTTTAAAATTTTATAAATTTCTTTTCGCATTTCCTTTCACTTTGTGGTTTTGTAGTTTTCACTACTAGAGAGATGAATTTTGAATGATGTTAGATATCCTTATTTAAATTCTTGAGCATTTTTAAGCTTATACACCTTCCAGTGCTAGTCTGTAATTTATTATTTTCCACTATTATCAAGAAACAAAACATTTTCATAAAATTATTTAATATTATTACATTCAACATTAAAAAGAAAATGAAAACATCACGACAATGTTTTTATTTTTGAAGTTTCAAGAAAGTAAAAGATTTAAAAAAAAAAAAATGCGCTCTCACACACACGCATACAAGAGAATAAAAATTCACTCACAAGGAAGACAATCCCTTCAATATTTTTGTCTTCATGGGAGAATGAAGTGTGTTTGAATGATGTTATTATCACATTTTTGTTGAATAATCTGGTTAAAAATAAAAAATTGAAATAAGAAATTTCATTTGTTGATGTGATTAAATATTTTCTGATTTCATATAAATTGAAATTCTCCGGAATATGAGGCAAGGTAAAAATAGTTATTAGCTCTATTATGTTGTTTTCATCCTCAGTGAAGAAGGAAAAAAAAAAAGAAGAAAAGTCCCACAAAACATATTCATGGATAAGAGCCAAGCACCCCCACGTTTTTTTTTTTTTTTTTTTGTTTTTTTTTCTGGGGTGGGATAATATACATAATAAAAATAGTCACTTTCTTCATACACTATCAGAAACCTCTCTTTCCTCCTACCAATAGCACTAGGCACTTACTCTTTTTTGTAACACACAACCTCTCATGATACTTTTGATATTGGCATTTTTAGTGTGCTTAGCTTCGTCTGGCAAAAGGCTATGAGTATATGAGTGTAGGGCATTCATTGAAGCTGAAAGTCACATACATAGTGATAATGTAGGAGATTAGCTTGCCAACCATTGCACAAGGATGCATCTCTATTGAATGTTCATGCTCAGGAGACAAATGTATAGTTTTCTTTTGTAATCTGATTTTTGTCTTCTTACAGGCCGTTTATTTCTGTAGCATTAGCTTTCACCGGTTTGACTGTTTTGTGAGTCAAAAAAAGAATATTGGTAGCAACCAAATTTATGTGATGCTAATTTTACTAGTAGCTAAAGATTTAAAGAAATTAAAGAAACTGTTCTCTCCTTTATAAACATAGATAAATTTACCTCGTTAAAGACCTAACACCTTCATCAAAATCAGATGGTACAAACCTCTAACTCACCCCAGATGCGTGTGTACAGTTTGTATTAATTTATTACAGACACTAATCTTGTTACATTTTTGAGTTCTTCATATGACAAACATTCCATCACTTGGATCAGCTTTAGTTAATGGGTAAAAGTCATCTCCTTTATATTTATCCGAAGTAAGGAAATATGTCTTCTCTTTAAAAAAAAAAAAAAAAAAATACAGAAATAAAATTTGAAAAAAAATTTAAAAAAATGTTTTTTTTTTTTTTTTTTTTTTTGTCCACTTTCAGAGCTATAGAATTTTGGCAAAGTGGAAATTCTTGAATAACTAATTTCTATTTATGAAATAATTTAACTCTAGCATGCTGGTCATCTTTTGGTATACTGTAAGTTTGTTCATTGCAGATGGATCTTGATTGACTAGCTGGCAGTGGAAGATATGATTGACTGAGAGATGAATAGGCATTTGTGTTTGGGGTATAGATAAATAGTTTTATTTAATTTTCATCTATCATTTGGAGTTTCTTCCAACTAAAAATAACCTCTTTTGCTGATTGTATCTAAGAGGCTTACATAAACTGTACAAGACCCAATAACATTTTATTTTTAAAATACCTAACTGATTAATGAATAATTTAATCTATACTTATGGGGAGAAAGAATATTTTTATTGTTTGCAGTATTATCTCTAGTTTCTGTGCTGAATAAAGAAAAAATGCCCGAGTCTTAAGCATGAATGAGAATGTGGTAGAGAAAAAATTAGTTCATTATTTTATGAAATGGATAAAAAAAATGTGGTGTGCAGAAATTCAGTAGGATATATGAATTAATATTTTACATATATCACAATTGAAAGAAAATGAAGACATGCACTCATATTTAGACAGACACCACACATGTAAGGAGATACAAATATGAAGATACACACATACACACACACATCTTTAAAGATATACAGAAGCATAAACATATACATGAAGATATGTGCACACATACATATATCTCAGGATATATAGACTGGCAGGTACAAACTCATATGTAAGGATGTACAAGGACAAGAATGTAGACAAGCACGCATGCACACACACACGCATTAGGGTATACAGCGAGGCACACATATTTATATAAATGTATGGCATATGCATATAAAGTTTATTTGCTAAATGAAAAAAAAAATTCTTAAACATAGAACAAAAGATAAGTAAATAATATATTTATTTTCCACTCTTTCCTGCACATAAAGATAATTAAAAACAAAGATATACATGTCTTTTAGGTTATTTGAATGAATTTTTATTATTTCACTACAGGATTTGCTGAAAAAAGTTTTCTTTTTGTTGATGTGTTGCCTTTTCACTTGCATTCATTTTAATTAAAATTGTTTAAATCCAACTAAAAAAAACAAAAAAAAAAAACATCTTCCTCCCTCAAGCAGAGATAAAACAAATGGTTTCTGAATTAGAGGTATTTGTTTGCTTATGGGGGTGTGCAAATATTTCTTTTCCACTCTTAAGCAATTTGAACAGAATTCTTTTTTATCTTTTCTTCTTTTTTTTTTTTTTTTTTTGTACTGTGTATTTTCTAAATGATTCATTCTACTTGCAAGAAGTAAGTGCTTCCTATTCCTTTTATTATATGCATAAGAAGATAGTTCATTTTTGTAGCAAGTTTTACATATGTGTACGCACACAGTGATGAAATGATTGCAACAGAGATATATCTTTGGCTTTGTATCTTATGTTTTATGCGGTAAGCTTTGTATAGTATAGGCATTGGGAAGGTCCCAAAAGAAAAGTTTGAAGCTTTTTTGTACTAAGCTGATTTTATATATATATATATATATATATATATATATATATATATATATATATATATATATACACACACACACACACACACACACACACACAACATTATGTATACCTACACATCCATGATAGTAGGATCATCTTACAGATCAATTCTCAATTGTAGTTAGTTTGATTCTCACTTAGTGCACCCTTTTGTTGATGTGTGCTAGTTTTCACTCAATTGAGTAAATATTCATAGACTCCATATGTGCATTAATGCAATTTGCTTTTTATACACATATACACACAAATTGTCTCTCCATGCATGTGGAATTATGCATATATGAAGGTGCATTCTTCTTTTCTTATATGTTCACATACATATTAATACACATTATTATTTATATATACACATACACACATATTGTGTATCATATAGACTTACATGTACAAAACAATTCCCTACTTATTTAATTCTGTAAAAAAAAAAAAAAAAGACTTATGATTCTGAGCCACAATGAAGGAAAAATCCTTTCTTGCAATTAGTGTTTAAAAAAATAAAACAATAACATTTTTTAAAAATTGTAGCCATTATTTCATTGTATCAAATTTGTCCTCATTTAATTTTGATCTACAATTGTGGAAGATTATGCTTTCAAACAGTCTTTGTTTGGACATAGCTGTATATCTGAAATGTGTTTTATTGTTATTTTGGGACAGTTGCTTTTAGCTTTGCTGCTATTAACACACCATTTTGGTGAATATGCTCTTCAGCCTTCCTTGTTTTCTGAAATTAAATCTTTTCATTATGTCATATATTAGATCATTGACCTCATCTATGATATTATTATGTTACATTGTTTTCTAAACTTTTAAAATTAAGTGTTTTTTTAATTCCATGTATTTTTTTTATATCTGCTATTATTGGCACTAATTGATATAATCTTCAGTGTTCCTGTTTTTTTCTGTAATTATGAGCGGAATTTTAAAAAATTATTTCACATACTATATGGAATGTTATCTACATTTTTGTTTAGCATTTCATCTCAACTGATAGTATGTATTTCCAAGAGATTTCTGAAGTTCTGAAATTTTCATAATTCAAGCTACTCTCTTCATCATTCATGTCTTCTGAAATTCTGGAAGTATTTTCAGCATTCTGTCTTCTTTTTTGTTGTTATTAACAATGTTTCAGTTGATATATCCCTACTTGTGTTTTCTATAGTTGTGAGATGAAATCTTTTCATTATTCCATTTTATAATTTAGAGTAATGTTTTTATTTTTGTCATTTTTAATGCATTATTTTAATCAATTTTATTCTTCCTTTTGTGTATTTTCTATCTTATCCTTTTTAGAATCACAAGATTGAATGTTAATCTCTCAATAGTCCTTAAATGTTGTATTCAATAAGACAAATATGACTACTTGTGTCTGAAAATAAAGTATAGTCATGATGGTTAAAATGCACAAATATACTGTGTCTGGAGAAGTCCTGTCTTCCTTATCTAACCCAAACATCAACTTCAATTACTAATGCATTTAAAAAGGCAGAATTGTGTACTCTGTGTGTTAAG